ATAATCAAGGAGGCCATAAAGACATCCTACAATTGTAGGCTTTGTATGGCTTCCTTGATTTTCATAGTGATTTTCAGAAAGACAGAGGTATCTATTTCTAGATTTCTACTATTTCGTGTGGGAGCAATGTTTTGAGATTATATTTTTTATATTCTAAGGCCCGTATCGTCAGTCGTCCCTACAATTGTAGGGCGCGTTTATGACCTCCTTGAGTGTCATACTCTTTTCTCTCCTTCAAAAATTTCTAGATTACACTCGTCCCGTGTCAGCGTCGATACGGGCCTTAGATGTTTCAGGCTGATTAATTTTTATCTCCTATTAGCCTAATACTGCTTGCGATTAAAAAAGAACACATAACCTCACAATAAGAAAGCGCTGATGCTAATGCATGCAACATATGCCTATGTTAATATACAGTGAAAGCTCTCCTTGCGGACAGCTCCTATAAGCGGACATCTCTTTTAACCGGACAAAGTTCCTGGAACCGAATTTCAGCTATCAATTTTCAATGTTAAATGCATTCCGATAAACGGACGCTCTTATAAACGGACGCGGACACTAGATTTTCCTGTATGTGATCAAAAAATCTCCCATAAGCGGACGCGAAACTCTAATACCCGGACGATTTTTTAGTTCCGCTTATTGCAATGCACATATCTACATACATAAAATACGGTAATTCCCCGATTTATATTAGGTGATTCCCCATTTACGCATTTCGTTGGGTAGCCTGTATGTAATCTTGTGGCTTGTCTTCAGTTCAGGCAAATTCGTAGTTGATTGAGTTACGTATTTCATTATTGTAACTGTAAAATGGCACCAAAAAAAAGGATACTCTCGTTAAAGGAAAAGATGGAAGTTGTTAACGTATTAGACAGAGAAAGTGTTTCAGTTCGTCATTTGGCAAAGAGGTTTAATATTGGGAAAACGCAAGCAGCTGAAATTGCCAAAAATAAGGAAGATATCAGGAGTAAATGGCAATCAGGAACTAATATAAATCAAAAGAAGGATTTTTTAAAAAAGGAAGGTTTTGCTATAGACAAAACATGTTTTGAGTGGCTTGTGAAAGCTAGAAGTCAGAACATTCCAATCTCAGGGCCGTTAGTGAAAATGAAATCTAAAGAAATCGCCACTACTTTGGGCTATAATAATTTCAGTGCGTCCGACGGGTGGCTGCAAAAGTGGCGCAAGAGACATAGTGTGAGTTTCAAATGCATATCTGGCGAAGCTGCTGCAGCAGATCAAGTTGATGTGTCACAATTTTTGGAGAAACTTCCGTCCATGTTGCTTGGCTACAAACCAGAAGATGTGTACAACGCAGATGAGAGTGGACTTTTTTTTCGCGCATTGCCCGACAAAACTCTGTCCTTTAAAGGAGAAACATGTGTGGGTGGAAAGTTGTCTAAAGATAGACTAACCATTTTATTCTGTGCAAATTATATGGCCGGTGAAAAATGCGATTTGATTGTGATCGGGAAAGCGGCTCGTCCCCATGCTTTAAAAAACGTTGCTATTAAGGATCTACCAGCGACTTGGAAATCCAACAAAAAGGCATGGATGACCCGAGAAATCATGTCTGAGTGGTTAGTCGAATTCGACCGGAAAATGAGAATCCAAAAAAGGCAAGTTCTTTTATTTTTAGACAATGCATGCTCTCATCCTCGTGATATGAAAATGAAAAATGTGAAAATTATATTTTTACCGCCAAACACAACTTCTGTTTGTCAGCCCATGGATCAAGGTGTCATACAGAACTTTAAATTTTATTATCGGCACTTGATTTTAAAACATATTTTAACAAAAATTGACGATGGTCAAAGCTTATCTGAGCTTACAAAGTCTATCAATGTGTTAGAAGCTTTGTATTTTCTAAAAACAGCATGGAATAAAGTAAATTCCTCTACAATTAAAAACTGTTTTGGCAAAGCTGGATTCAGAAAAAGTGAATGTAGCTCAGAATTTGCTGAGCAAAATTATTGCGATGCTGAAGACGATCTGCCCTTAGCGACACTTGCTCAGTTACTGCGACATGCCAAACATTTAGGAGTAGCAGATCCCCAGAAAGTAGATGATTTCCTGGCCATAGACAATAACATAACAACAGAAGAAAATGCCATTGGCAACTTTTCGAATTTGGATGTAGAAAGCTTAGGCCAACTCGAATATGGTAGTCCAAACGACTCAGAAGAAGAAGTGGAACTGGTGGACTCGCTAAGCGGTTCAAAAACGATAAATTCATATGGGGAAGCTCTAAATCAAATTTCTATATTGAAAAAATTTGCTAAAGATGATTTCACTGCATTTCAACATTTGAAAAATTTAGAAAGTTATTACGAAAATTGTCTCCTTCAGCAAAAGATGGTGAAATTTCGTCAGACAAACATTTTAAACTTTTTTCAACAAGCTAAAGAATAATGTTTTTTTTAAATTCTCGTACCATGTATTGAAGCATTTATGTTTTTGTATGCGTATATGTACATATATTATATAGATATATAGCATAAATACTTTAAAAATGTGGCGAGTTTCTGTTTCATTTTTCTCATGATTATAATACCTCATTTCCTCATGATTATATACCCCGTTATTTATACTCTAGACTTACATACTCTCTTTTAAACGGACACCTCCCATAAGCGGACAAAAGTTACGGAACCGTGAGTGTCCGCTTATGGGAGCTTTCACTGTATTTAACCTTATGAGATCATAAGATTATTTTTAACAAAATAACATCGAATTGCACCTACTTGGATTCAATGACAGGTTGTGGTTAGTAGCACATCTGACAACTCTGTATATTCATTTATTAATTTTTTTGAAGTTGCAAGTTTTCCGACTCAAAGTGGTAGATCAACTGGGTATCATCTGCGTAAGCAGCAATAGAACAGTGTGACAAAGCAGTCTGAAAATCGGCAGTGTAACTTATGATGTGTAGAGGCCCCAAAATAGAGCCCTGGAGAGCTCCTGAAATAATTAGTTCTCTTTCTGATATATTACTGAAAATTTTGACTTTTTGAAAACATTCGGAGAGGTATGGCTTGAACCTCAAAACTTGTATATTTAGTAGGATTTTGCGTACAATTTTAAGGGTTTGTGGGATTTGTTCCCGGCTCTTAAAAAAGTTTTGGGGACAGATACATTTCCACACAAAGTTATCACTTGCTATTAATCGCCCCTCATGAGAAAAATTCCTGCGAGCTCCCATGCTTTTTATCCTCTATGCAAATTATTATTAGCATTACATTTTTGTAAAACATCATATGAAGAAAGCTTTCGTGAAGTAATAAGATTACTATTCTAGAAGGAATTCCAAATTTGAAAAATCGATGTCACGATACACGATTTCCAAACCAGAATTCTAGGGAACCCAGCTTAAAATATGCCGAAAATGTCGTTTGGAGGCCAACAAACCGTGTCCCGGCGATAAATCTTGCGGATGAACGTGCCACAAGGTAGCCGAGTCATGTAGAGATGCGTACGACGATGTGAGGCATGTGTTAGTTGGCTGTGAAACAGTTTAGGACGGTTGACAGGCCAGTTAGCACCAATTAATGCTGCCGCATGCTCTGACGGAGAGTTATGATGCGTCCTCGCTTAGGTAAACAGTGTACGGTTTCGCCGATTTGAGGTATTGGGCGTAGACAAGAATCTTGTAGCGATTTGTTACATGAGGACATGTGATATTTTTTTTAATTGGTGTAGGTTAGGGAATGTAAGTACTTCATAATGATCCATGGGTAGCCATTGTAGTGGACACCGTTTTAATAAAACCGGATATTACGTAACTTGAAAAGTGACATGTCGATTTTTTTGACATTATATTGGTTTTTTGTGACATTAAGTAGGTTTTTCTACAAAATTTTAACTTAGAACTAGCTGATGGACATTTGTTGTGAACTCGTTTTGTTGTTGTACGTGTTGCCTAAACGTCATGAGGCTTCAGTTATCAATTTTTGGCTCTGATGTGCTGTAAAATCTGCCCCAGAGATGGAGGTAACGGCAATGCATAGTGAGGATTTCTGTGCTAATAATGCGTGTTGATGATAATTCCATTGGATTCTTGGGTCAAATAGGTACACTTACTTGAGATTCAAAGCTAGAAATAAAAAATAATTAATATAATGGTCGACTATTCGTCATTATTCGTCAGAGCGGTCCGGTGGACCTTTGCTCTTAGTTAAAAGTCTCGTCGGTCTGTTAGTCTGTCAGGTCTGGCTACCCAGATACCAAACATGTTTAAGGGGAAAAGGGAAAGAAGGAAAGAAAGGAAGGAAGAAATATAGCAAAGAAAAGAAGTAAATCATTTGAAATAGCTCAAGCATTATTGCTTTGACTACTCGAATTATTTTGTAACTCCAAAAAATAATTTTGATCGGTTTTGTATACTGAAATAATTTTGTCTGGTCTGAATTTACAATTTAATTTTGATCACAGTGCGAGGCGCGGCCTGGAATGTTTACAAACTTGCTCGACTGTGTGGTTTACTGAATCACGCAACAGAGGGTTGCTGTGCGATTCCGCTTGATTATAACGCCATTGCGCCTGTTGTTTTACGTAATCCCTTAAATATAGGATATCAAGATCTCTGTGAATAGTCTCATTTGACACGTACCAAGGGGCGTTAGTAATTGTGCGTAGGGTTCTGTTTTGCAGGATGACAAGAAAATACCAAGCCGCGCATGCGTAGATGATTTTGGGTCTTCGACCATTTTATACAACCGAATCTTGTTGATCAAACTTAATTTTGAATTTCTGCTCAACAGAGGATAAAGCTGCCGAAAGGTTATTTGGAATTTTGTTTTCAAAATATCAGTATGTTTCTGCCAGGTCAATCCCTTGTCAATGATGACTCGAAGATACCTGACAGATGATAAATGCAGGTTGTCTATTGTACTTAGCCATTCAATGGCTGCGGAAAGATCGCCTGCAATGCCTGAGTGGCGCTATTCAGGGGACTTATTATTTGTTGAAGGGACCTAAGAGCAGTTGCTAGGTCCACAATCTGTTCTATTTTACTGTTTTGATTCCTAACTGTCTCAGTTAGCTCCGTTATTTGCTGGGCCTGGCTTTCGATGATCAGGGTCTGGCGCTGGATGGTTCTGTCCTTTTCATCTGCTACAGTTGGTGTCATCAATTCCTTTGATTTCATGGTCTCAGTCAGCTCCTTTATTTATTTGCTGGGCCTGGTTTTCGATGATCAGGGTCTGGCGCTGGATGGTTCCGCCCTTTTCGTCTGCTACAGCTGGTGTCATCAATTCCTTTGATTTCTTGGTAATTTCTGTTCTCTCCTTCTGGCTGGGTCCATTCATCATCGGGGACGCTGGGGGATCATTACTTTGACCTCCAGAGTCTATCTCCATGTTTTTAAATCGGGTTTTCTATTGAAAAACTTGAAAACTTTCACGAGCAAAAATTTGACGTATTGTCAATTACCATGTCACTCATTTCCATTCGCTGTCGAATTACAAGTCATATACATGCTAACAATAATTATACAACGCGGGTGCGGTGGTGATTTCCCGTAATTGTCCTCAAAGCCTTTGAAAACACAAAAAACGTAATTTATAACTTCGAACAAGACAGCTAATAGAAATATACTTCATTGGCAGCATATTCAGTAATGATTTTTTCACACGGCAAATATCACTGATTTTACATACATGCAGACCAATACACACAATCATCCAGATGCGATCTTCTTATTCAAGCAGCTTTCTTCTCAGAGATGAAAGATATAGACTACTCGGCTTCACAAAACATATGCAACCAATAATGCGTGTAGACCTGTAGTTAAGCCATTCCTTCATAGATGGACGCTCACAACGATCCTATTGAGCAAACATGGAGCGACTGTTTGCACCCTAAAAACTACCTAGTCTGCAAGATGACATTTTATAGGTTTTTCTTGATGTTTTATAGGTTTTTACATAATAGCCGGGCCGGAAAACTATTTCTGACAGATGACAGCTGCGACGCCCTACGAATAAAAGGGCGGCGTGAAGCAGAAGCCTGACAGGTTCGAATGGTAGGCCCAACATGCGGTAGCATTTTAGTAAAGCTCTAACATCACATTTGAAACCTACCGATCATACGCAGTTTTGGTTTCTGACAAGCAGAGATCGCACAAGATCAAGGGTGCCTTGTGATTTGAGGTTATGGTTTTTGAATTGTGTTGAGGAGTTTGCGACTTTCTTAGTTTTGCTGCAACTTTGAATAGTGTGTTTCAATTGACAAGAATGGAGATAGATAACCATTTTCATAAAATTTCGTGTATACTAGTTGTTTATTGTATTATAAATATTTATATTGTTCACAGAAATGTCAGATGAAGATATCACAACTAAATACGCACGTTCTTCAACAAGGCGACTGGAGGCAATGGGAAACTTTATGCTTATGAGTGAACACTTTTTGTGGTTCGCAGGGCATGAAACATCATTTCATGATAAATTTGATATAGTGATTAGTTGTTTATTCTAAATAATAAGAGGTTGATGTCACTGCCAATTTAAACGTATTTTGACGGAGAAATGTGCTCTAGCAGAATCAAATTTGAATCCGTTTGAAACTGGTCTTGCAAGCACGTTGAAGGAGTTCATAATCAAGTTTCAAACCGTTGGAAATGTCATGCTAGAATATTACAATTGTAGATGAGTCAAAACTAACATTTGACGACCTGCCTTGGGCGGCCGTGTGCCAGATCGAGTACATATGGAGGTATGATGTATTGTAAATTACATATACATTTTAAAGTTTTAACACTTTTTTTGCCTGAAAACCACCAGGCCTCATAGTGTGTGACTATATCAAAGCAAAATGATCTAAGAAATATCCCTATACTCCCCCTAGTAACATGAGCATTTTGACCAAAATAGTACAAAACTGGATTAAAGGCCAAGTCAGCCAATTCAAAGATCCTACTAAAAAGTTATATGTATTGAGCCATTGGTTCGTTCCTTCCATTTACAAAAAATAATTATGTGGACTTTTGCTTGGGAAAACCTTCGAATTGTCAGATCAATAAACTACTTTCGACTGAACTATCTATCAAACAAATTCTCAGATATCAGTTTGAAGTTATTTTTGTGTTCTTTGAACAATTGACTTCGAAATTTCCATACAATATGTGGCTCAATGCTGTTCAGGTACAGCAATTGCGAGAAAATGTTGTCGGAATACAGATTCACATTTTTTCCAAAGCTGCAAACTTTGAGCTTGTGACTACTGAAGAGTACTTGATACCGGTTTCTGACTGACTCTCAAACATATTGAGCAAGCTTCTATTTCCTAGCCCTAACAGATGTGTACCAGCAGCTGTTTTGAGAAATGAGTTGTGCACCTGCCAAATTGTGTCCTCTTCAATAGGCTGAATCAAATAACCTCTTGGCAGAACTCGGATATGCATTTCGTGGTCGCTTGTTGTTAGTTACAGTCCAGTAGCTTGTCTTAGAACCATTTCAGAGCCTGATGGAAGACTGCTTCAACAATATCAGGTCCTTTTGCACTAATCTGGGCGTCCGCAGAAATTTTTCTCAGGGGGGCCGATCATTGACAAGAGTTAACTTTTTGTCAACGTGTACCTGCCCTCAAAGCTTTTTGAGGCCCAAGGAGTTCCCAGAGAGGGGGGAGGTGCATCCCAGTAGCCTCCCTGCCGACGCCCATGCATTTTGATGTGTCTTCTCTTCAATTTTATATATGGTTGTTATGATTGTTCCACCATCCGTGCCTTAAATAATCAAGACATGGATCATTCAATTCCGTGAGAACATTCTTGAAAAACCATGTCGCAATAGTAGATAATAATACAAGAAGTAAACTAAACTGGCACAAAACGGTGTACATGACGCAGATTACTATTTATTTGTTTTATAGAATCATTGCTATATGTTAGGATTAGAGCGCGATTAACTTGTGATTGTTTTGGCTTAACACTAACTCTACTTCATACATAATTTATCATAGCGCTGGGATCACGATGGGATTGCAGGGATTTTTAGTTCTCCCTGGGCTGCATGTTTTACTATGCCCGTATCCCGGATTAACGTGATCTGATTAATTATCTTTGATCGGCCATTGCTCATTAGCACGGGCTACCAGATAATGAGGTGTACCGTGTTGTTAGGCACCTGAATCTTCGACATTAATAACACTGTGTGCGTACACTGATGGACTATCCGAAATTTAATTAATCGGCAGACTATGTTCCTATATTTTTACATATATACTAAGTGACATATAAATCCGAACACCCAGTTTAAATGGTTTTATTTTAATAAAAGTTGGTGAATGTATTTATCTTACTGTAAATAAGTGAAAAAATTTTCAGCCTTATCAGTTGGACATTCCGGTTTTTATACTGCTTTTTTTAATTCACTAACGCTCTAAAAATGAATATTTCAGCCGCAGTAAAGAATCAACGTTGGCGGATTTTGGTTCTTGACATCCTTTACGATCGGTTACGATGCCTAGAGTACGGAGACCTGTACGATTTCGTCAACTTAGTGAGTTTGATAGGGGCCGTATAGTGGGACTTCGGGAAGCTGGACTTACTTTTCGGGCAATTGCAGTTAGAGTGCAAAGAAGTGTAGACACTGTGGCTAGGTGTTGTCAGGCATGGCTTCGAGAAGGCCATACGCAAAGAGCAAGGGGCACTGGACGCCGCCGTAGAACAACAGACCGTGAAGATCGCCGCCTAAGATTATTGGCCTTAAGGGACCGTTTCTCCACTACCAGGTCCATTGCAAATGAATGGTTTGCAGAACACGGAGGACCTATTGGCATGCGAAGTGTTTACCGACGAATGAGAAGTTTTGGCTTGTTTTCATACCGGCCACACTGGGTCCTCCCTTTAACTCGAGAACACCGACGTAATCGGCTTGAGTGGTGCAGACAACGGTCACTCTGGGATCAGGAATGGAACAGTATTGTCTTTAGTGACGAGTCCCGATTTTGTTTAGGCATGCACGATGGTCGTGCCAGGGTTAGAAGGCGACGTGGTGAAAGGAGGAATCCACAGTTTTTTGTTGAAAGACATGTTCATCACACTGTTGGAGTTATGGTTTGGGTGCTATAGCTTATGGTTCCAGGTCACCTTTAATCTTCATCAGAGGTAACATGAACGCGCAGCGTTATATCCACGAAGGTCTAGAACCCCATCTTTTACCCTATCTTGACACCCTGGCAGATCCAACTTTCCAACAAGATAATGCCCGACCACATGTTGCAAGAGTCACAATAGACTTCTTTCAACATAATGATGTCACATTGTTACCATGGATACCAAGATCTCCCGACTTATCCCCAATTGAGCACGTGTGGGATATGATGGGTAGGAGATTGCTCAATTTGCAACGTCCTCCTCAGACTCTAGAAGCACTTCGAGAGAATGAGATACCACAGGAGGACATTGACCACCTGATCAGAAGCATGCCTAGGCGCGTTGGAGAATGCGTAGCACATCAGGGTGCATCCACACATTATTAAAGTTCAAAGGGCTTTAAAGCAGTGCAATCATTTTGAAATTTTTATCATTTACTTATTATGCTTCATTAAGTACTTATACAAAATTTTATTAAAATAAAACCATTTAAACTGGGTGTTCGGATTTATATGTCACTTAGTATACATTTTCATAATCCGCTTTAGTGATTTGAAATTGGAAGTAGTTGCAATCCGACCGGGACCCTTATTACGACATAAAGATTGATAATCTGATCGTCACAATTGTCACTTTCAAATTAGCTATTAGCTTTAATCGTGATAACATTTCCTGGCAGTTATGGACAATTCGCGCCTGCACAGGCTCGTAAGCAGCGTTTGTGTACAGCCAGAAGTGTCAGAACCATTTGTTCAGAGCATGCGGTAACAGTTCTGCTGGTTCTGGACAAATCCTGAACTGGTTCTCACAGTGGTCGAATTTAAATAACTGTTGAGCTGTGATGTCAGCTAGGTTCAAAAAGGTTAACGTTAGAGGATTGGTTAGTGTTGCATTCAGGATCCACAAAAGTTCTTGTCATCTGATTGCTACTGCTGCAAGGAATTTTGAACATTTTCGAACAAGTAGAAAATCTCGCAGAAAATCCTCTCTGAGAAGGTCATTCTGGCAAAGTTACTCCATTGAGATTTATAACCATATACTAGTGGTTTTCTGGTAATGAAGCATAATTTTAATCGAGTAGTTATGTTAATAAAATAGACAATGTTTTATTATGAGGGATGTCATTTAAGTTCTGCATATAGAAACATAGTAGGCCGCGCGGATCGAACGTCAGTACTGAATCTTAACATCACTCTTTGGTAAACTTAAATTCAAAGTTTCACTACAGTGAATTTTTAAGTGTCGCCAAGTCATTAGAAAAATGGAACTCAACGAGAAGATTTTCGCGCCATAATTTATTACAACTTTACTTTACTTTACAATTATCGCAACAAGAATGGCTTGATGAGTTACTGTCTGTTTTAGGGAACG